TTACTGGCTGCAGTCATAGCTTGACAGCAGAAGAAGATAATGAACTAAGCAGGATGCGTCATAAAGTCAGCCATTGGAAGGAGAAAGAGATTAATGGTACAGAGAGAAGATTGCTCGATGGTTGTTCACAGACTTTTCTCTTGCTCAGAGCATTGGGTTTCCCACCAAGTACTCGGATTTACTTAGTAGATGGTGAAGCTTATGGAAATGGAAGTATGGAGCCTCTTAAGGAGGATTTCCCTAACATCTTTTCTCATTCCTCCTTGGCAACAGATGAGGAGTTGAATCCTTTTAAGAACCATCAGAACATGTTGGCCGGTTTAGACTATGTTGTTGCCCTTCAGAGTGATGTAATTGTATATACTTATGACGGAAATATGACAAAGGCAGTTCAAGGCCATAGGCGAATTGAGAACTTCAAGAAGACTATTTGCCCTGACAGGATGAATTTTGTGAAACTTGTGGATTACTATGATGAAAGAGAATCTGGATTTTTCAGTGAGAGCGAAAATAGTACGAAATGCAGAAATTCTGCATCAGTAACTAATGGCAGTCAAGCTGAGGCTGACTGGATTGAAAAGTATGAGCCTGGAGTCTACATTACTCTTGTAGCACTACAGGATGGAACTAGAGATCTTAAACGTGTGCGGTTCAACTGGAGAAGATTTGGAGAGCACCAAGCAGAATATTGGTGGTCAGAAAACCGTGAGAAGGTTGTGGAGAGGTACTGGGATTAGAAGCTTACAAATGAAACTCAACCTATTTGGAATATGTTTACTAATCTAACGGAATATGTGGGGTATAAGTTTGGGTCTATTGAGGTTGGTTACAATGGAAACTTGGTGAACTACAAAGCTTTAGATGACTATTGTTTCAATTTCTATACTAGTCATAATTTAATATTTTTGAGTGCTCTAAGCTTACAGCTGCCACTCCAAGAACCCTGCCGAGCTATTGGGAAGAGCGAAGTTTCACAACACACTGATGAGGTGTGGTATAAAGTGAAGGTAAATTCTGATAAACAACCTACTCTGCTATGGTGTTCAGAATTCACAATGCATATGGTCCCAGATATGTTGCAGAACATAATTAAACAACATACTGAAAAAAATCGAAGTGAACGACAGTTTCAAAGGGGAAAAGAAGAATACCTAAGATTGCGGCCCTACAGGCAGACATCCATTCTCCTGCAAAAAAATTTAAAGTTAGCAGCAATATACTACAGATCTTACAAAATTATTGCGAAAATTGGCGAGGTCGCGTATCGATTGGACTTACCAGATTTTTTCCGATTGCATCCAATTTTTCATGTGAGCATCCTGAAGATACACGTTAGTGACTCAACAGTCTCTTCAACGGACTCTCCTGCCGTGGACGATGATGGTCAGATTCGATTAGAGCCGTATAAGGATATGGGAAGAAGAATAATGAATCGACAAAACAAACCTGTAACGCAGTTGTTGGTACACTGGACAGACCTCGATGACACCAGTGATACATGGGAAGACGATATTGTTCTTCAAGGCCAGTTTCCAGGATTTGATCCTTGGGGACAAGGATCGATTCCAGCGGCGGGTATTGTCACAGTCAGAAGAGATGAGCGTGGACGAGAAGAAGGAATTGGGGAAAGCAGAAGTCAAGGGTTAGGGATTGAGGGAATTGAAAAGGGGGATTTAGGGATTGAAACACGAGAAAGGGGCATGAGGTACGTACCCTCTGAATTGGAGTCACCCGTGTACCCAGTCCAGTCAGTGTTGGATCAGCCCAAGTCTCCAGCCCAAGACGAGTTGAAGCAGCACAGGTTATGTGGCCCGATATCCTGCAAGGAGAAAGAAGATAAGAATGAATTAGTCAGTTATAAGTTGTTAGAAGGAATGCCAGCTGGCATTGTTAGATTCCCTGTACCAGCTTGTAACTAAATAAACACTTGCTGTGTAATCAAGAATTTCCTTATGCAATGAATGAATGATTATTTTCTTCTCTAAATTCTCTCCTTCTTTTCTCGTATCTTTCTCTATTTCTCTCATTCCATAACAATTGCTTTACTGAAAACCTTTATTAAAATGGTTGAATCCCAAAATCAAATGGCGATTTAGCGAAATATGGGTTTTTGATGATTAAAGGACCAGAAAAAGTATACAATGCATAAGAGTTAACTAGATTATTGGGGGATCTACTTCCTCTTTCTCCCACTGGATCACTTTAATACAGGGTGTAAACAATTAATTATTTCTTTGTCAAAAGCTTATGTTGTTGAGTTGTTGTTAGGGAGAGAGTTGATTAGTGTTTAATGTGTGACTGGATTTAAAAGTTTCAGCTTTCATGCACGTTTTCTTGAAATTTTACAGACATTTGCTCTAAATCTGCCTACCTGCTAAATTTGGGGACCACAAATACTAGTTAGTGTTAAACATGTGCGCATTACAGGTTTTATAAGGGGTATGGTTTAATAAGAATAAAACGAACCTGTTGCAAATATGAAGAGGCTGATAAAGAGTAGAGAAGTTATATTCCTGGCATTACTTTTGAGATCCATCAAGTGTCAAAAACTAGTTGAGGGATAAAATTACATAAAAGTTTTTTTTATAGTTTTTGATTGAGCTAGAAAATCTGCTAGCTTTCTTTTGTCTTAGAACTTGGATTGTAGAATGACAAACGATTAACTTTATTTCGATGAATTTTTCCTGGAAGAAGCGATAACAGGACATAAATTTTGACCAGAAGTGCAATACATGAAAGTAAGGAATTATCATCATCCATAGAAGTGTAACAAACATTTGTGAAATGGGGCCACTATATGCCTAATGAGATAAATCACAGAATATTAATTGGTTTGTTAGTCGAGTTAGCCAAATATCTCAAGCAGGCCATTATCAACAATAGGGAATAATGCTTCTTTTTCATCTAATGGCTTGCATAAGGAAAGTAACCATAATAACGTTTATAAATTTTATGCCACATTATTAAATAAACTTTACTGAAGTTTAATAAAATTTGGGATCCTGAAACATTTGCAGGGTCCTTTGTTACTACTATTTCTTCATTTCTTATTACGATTTTTGTGCTCACTGAATGACACTTTAATTGATGTCTTAAATGTTTCTATTTATGTTGGTAGCATTCAAATTTCTTCAGAAGCTTCAATGGATGAGATTGAAAATTTTCAGGCACCGCCATGATTTATCACCAAGTATTTCCACTTTTTTGTCACTCAGATTGCAACTATGCCAAGGGGAGATGGGTTGCTGACAGCAGATGGCCATTGTATTCCGGATCTGGATGTAAACAGTGGTTATCGGGAATGTGGGCTTGTAGACTAACCCAACGGACAGACTTCTCTTTTGAGGGATATCGATGGCAGCCTAAGTTTTGTAAAATGAAAGAGTTTAACCGGTTTTCATTCTTGAGAAGGTATGTCTTGTGTATGGTTTCTTGTTATCGCTCCTTCCTATGCCCTTTCAGAGTTATGTGAATTTCCGGGTTTTAATTTTAGTTAAGACTTAGTAGGTGTTCTTTTTCGTTTCTAACTGTGGTTGTAATTTCAGAATGGGGAATAAAACAATTGCCTTTGTAGGAGACTCATTAGGCAGGCAGCAGTTCCAATCCATGATGCGTCTGGTCTCAGGTGGGGAAGAGATGCCGCGAGGGATTATGGGCTTGTCAAACCTCGTGGAGCCAAACGTCCTGATGGATGGGTTTATCGTTTCCCGAGTACAAATACCACCGTTTTATATTACTGGTCAGCTAGCCCCTCAGACCTAGTGCCTCTTAATAGCTCAGACAAAAACTCTGATGTTGCCATGCATTTGGACCGTCCACATGCTTTCCTAAGACAATACCTTCATTGTTTCGATGTATTAGTTCTCAATACAGGTCACTACTGGAATAGAGGGAAGCTTGAACAAAACCGTTGAGTGATGCATGTTAATGGGAAATTTGAAGATATTGGGAAGGCTAAGAATTTCACTGTGCATAGTTTTGTCAGGTGGCTAGATTTGCAACTTATGTCGCACCCTCGCCTAAAAGCTTTCTTCAGTACAATCTCTCCAAGGCACTACCTTAACGGAGATTGGAACACTGGAGGTACTTGCAATAATATGGTTCCCTTAAGTAGGGCTAGTTAGGTATTGCAAGACGAATCTAATGACAAAGTTATCAAGAGTGCTGTTAGGGGTACAAAGGTTAAGATTTTGGATATAACCGTGATTTCTGAACTCAGAGATGAAGCTCACATGTCCAGTTACGGTATTAGGCCAACTCAGGGTATCAATGACTGCTTGCATTGGTGGCTGCCTGGTGTACCAGACACATGGAACGAAATCCTTATTGGACAGATATAGCTCCCTCCACGCATATGGCATGAGAAGGCAGTTTTCCGAAGATACAATACTGAGCCAGTACTCGAATCACCTTATATATTCTCTTATTGATTGGAGAATAGGTAAATCATATCCTTCTTTCACCCCAGATTGTTGAAACCGAAATGTATTTTTCAACCAGTTTTATGTCTACTGAACCCAACAAATAAAAACATGCAATTCAGCATCTGATTTCATTTGTATCGTATTGTATGTACATTTATTACCTTAATCACAAGTGAGTTCCTTTTGCTCCAGGTTTTGGTTTCCACCATAAAAATGTGTCAAAGAGATTTTCAGAATTTAATTCTTAATTAATATTCATGTATGAGATCTCGTTTTCGATGTTACATTTGTATTCTAATTTGATTAGTGTGTCAAAATGAGCCTATGAGGTTTTCATATTATAAATTGTTTCATTGTGTATTGAAAGTAATTTTGATAAATGTCAACATCAATTAAGAAATCACATTTGCATATCACATAAAAATTTATTAATTAAATTCTGAATATCTCTTTTCATTACATTTTCAACATTAAATTGCTGCACAAACTTATTTCAAAAGAATATTCATGTATCTGAAACATATTCATTATATATATCTGTACATCTTTATATAGAATTGGGATATACAATATATCCAACACAAAAGGAGAGCAGAGGAGGAACTTCCTACTAACTAGGTTCATCTTTTTAACGTTTCTCCATATACCATGATTTCTTGTCCTTGTTAACCTTTCCTACATGCATTCAACATACCGACGATGAATATCGGCAGTTGAGAGGATCAAAATTGCAAAAACAGTGACCATAATGTGACGTTGTCTGTTGTTTAAGTTTCTGGTACCGAGGATCTGATTCATCATATATGTATTTGTTATTTTTCGCAGAGCAGAAATGGATCTGAATGGAGGTGCTTTCATAATAACGGGAAAACATCTCTCTCTTGCTCTGCTTGCTCTGGTTTTGACGACCATGTTGCTTTTGGATTGGGAAAGAAATCCTTTGATTTATACATATATACCGACTCAACATCGCTCCGTCGCTCTCCTTCCACCTCCAGGTTTGTTCGAGTTCAACTTAACAGCAATGATTTTAAGTAGCTAAATTTCAGTATCTATATGTATACTGCAGCCGGGCTAACCACAGGTTTGCATTTCGCCTACCCCAGCATGCTTTCATCCTGACCTGAATAACTCCACAGAGTCCATGGAGACTGCTGAGATGAAAACCGATAGAGAAAAGTCTCAAACACTTCAGGAAGAAGAAAGGAAAGAGCCAGAGGCAGATGTTGATGATTCCGGAACCGAGATAATAGACGGTAACTCCGAAAATAGGACAACCTCGGTGGCAACAAAAGGTACATATGCAAATGCTACGCAAATTCTTGTAACATAACTAAAGGATGCATTATTTCAGAGAAGCCGATTTTATTATGTTTATATCCATATGTGCAGTCTGTAACTATGCGAAGGGTAGATGGGTTGCTGACAACAGGCCGCCTTTATATCCTGTTCAGTGCAAGTACATACAAAGAAATTGGGCATGCAGACTCACGAATCGAACAGATTTCTCCTACGAAGGTTATCGATGGCAGTCCGTAGATTGTAAAATGCCAGAGTTTGATTCCTCCCATTTCTTGGAAAGGTGAGCAGTTTAATGCAAACTTATATATAAAGTAGAATCTAAGAGAATTCCATTGCAGGTCTTGTTGATCTTAGTGAATGATTGAGTTGTCTAAAGAACATCATATTGTATATAACAGGATGAAAGACAAAATAATTGCCTTCATAGGAGATTCATTGAGCAGAGAACAATTTCAATCCATGATGTGCATGCTCACTGGGGGGCAAGAGAGCTCCGATGTTGAAGATGTTGCAGATAAATACGGTTTCCTTCAGTTCTTACGCAATGGAGGAATCCATCACCATGGCTGGGCTTATCGGTTTCAGAGTACAAATACCACAATCCTGCATTCTTGGTCAGCAAGGCTATGCGACCGAGAGCCTATTAATGCGACTGATCCAGATACCCTTTACGCCATGCATTTGGATCGTCAACCTGCTTTCATTCGTGAAAACATCGACCAACTCAATGTCTTAGTCCTTAACACAGCTCACCATTGGAGCAAACAGATGATGAGCATGGATAAAGAGGTGATGTACGTGAATGGGGTGCCAGTCCAAGACAGAAATCTCAAGAACAACGAGAACTCCAGGATCTTTAAAGTGAAAAATATAGTAACATGGCTTGATTCTAAGATGGCATCAAATCGAAACTTACAAGTTTTCTTCAGAACAACATCGCCAAGGCACTTTTTTAAAGGCGACTGGAACAGCGGTGGTACCTGCGATAACACCGTTCCAATGACTAGAGGGAGTGAAGTCCTACAAGAGGAATCAATAGACAAGATCGTTGCAGCCGCTGTCGAGGGCACCCGGGTGAAGATTTTGGATATAACCGCTCTATCTGATCTGAGAGATGAGGCTCACATTTCACATTATGGTAAAAAAGCCAATGACTGCTTACACTGGTGCTTGCCTGGTATTCCAGACACCTGGAACGAACTCCTCAGCGTAGAGCTCTAGGACATATGCTAGCCTTTTGGTAACATTCTTTTGATACATTTGATTTTTAGATAACAATGTACTTGAAGAATCATAATGTAATAAACTAAAACATAAATTAGAACAAAAAAACAGTAAAAGTAATTCAATGAATTCTGTTTTGTTAGATATGATTTTAGGGTAGACAAAGACAAACTGTGTACTTGTTTGCTTCTTCTTCACTTTGCTATCTTTTCTTAGACACCAAGAATCGCCAGCAACCAGGCAAGGGACTTCTTTTTGCATCCCTGCACCATGATTAACAGTCGTATATGTGTATATATAGATAAATTTTGGAAAAAAGAGAACTACCTGCTTGTTCTACTGTCGTTGCAGCTATCTTCTTGGTTTATATGATTCCTTCGGATGAAAATCCTTTTTATCCACCATTTTTTACCCACCGCTTCTCGAATCCGTCACACGATGGACTCGGGGACACCCTGGATCTATTTTCAGCCGTTGATTTCTTTTTGAAACTAAAACAACTTGGGAAAAACATCTTTAAGAATAAATTATCAGCTTCCATACATGCAGTTCTGGACAATGAACCTGCCAGCTTCGCATTTGTCTTCGCTTTTCTCTTCTTCGTTTCCACTTTGTCTTCGTTGTGAAGTCAAAATCTAATCTTGTGTAAATTGTGTTGTTTCGAGTCCAATATCCTTCGTCGTGAAGTTGAAATTGACTCTGAATGAAACTGGAAAATTATTTGTTAACAGACGCTCATTCGTTGTGAAGTTGAGCTTTGAATTAGATATTGTTGAGTTAATCGATTGACGAATATGGCCAAGAGGGGGTGAATTGACAATTAAAATTTTGGTGGAAGCTTTTTGCAGAAAATTGAAAGAAATTTGCACAGCGATTTAGAGTGGTTCGACTTTCTCAACCAAAGTCTACGCCCACTACCTTAGCTATCCACACTAAGGATTTTCCAAAAATTCACTAATTTGTCTTTCTTTTGAGGACAAAGAGTAACCTTACAAACCCTCAAGAATTATACCCCAAATTCTTGAGAACACTCTCTCCCAAAGAGAACAATACAAATTTGCAAACTTACAAGAAAATCCTCACAAGGTAGATTGTTTGCACAATTCTAGAACAAAGAAAAGAACACTCAAGAATGAATACAATTGAGCACAATAAGTGTTCATGAAAGCAAAATGAATATTGAATGAAAAGTATGCTTGAAATGCTCAAACTTGAGGTTTGATGCTTTCTCTTTGATTCTCTCTTGATTCTAGTTGCTTGATGTTTCTTGTTCTTGATCAATGGCTTCTAAGCTTGCTTAAATACACCTTGAATCACTTCTGAACGTTGGGGATCATTAATGAATTTTTTGGAGCCGTTTAAGTGTGAAAACAATTAATATTTCTGCTTGAAGCATGGGGGGAATCGGTACCCCTTAAGGGGAATCGGTTCCCTAAGTGTAAAATTCAAATATTTCGACCGTTGAACAGTAGGGGGAATCGATATCCCCTGGGGGGAATCAGTATCCCCTGGGGGGGAATCGGTTCCCTTCGAGCATACTGGAATTCTCGGAGCCAAACCATTCAGGGGGAATCGGTACCCCCTTGGGGGGAATTAGTTCCCTCTGAGCAATCTGAAATTTTTGGCTTTGAAATTGCTCAAAATATTTTGTAAAATCGTTTTGAAATTATTTTAAGATTAAAACTTAATTTTACACTTGAGTAAGGATTTAAAATGAACTTTGAAATACTTTGAGTAATATTTTGATATTCAATTTAATATATCGAATATGCTTAGAAAAATTATTTTTAAAATTAAAATTCTTTTAATTTAATTTGTTATATCGAAACATCAAAATGTTTTCAACAATCTCCCCCTTTTTGATATAACAAAACATTTTAAGATTTTCTAATTTCAAAATGAATTTTGATTTTGAAAAATACTACTCCCCTTACTTTAACACTACTCTTCAAAAACTCTTCAAAAAGCTTTTAATAACATTTCTCCTCCTTTTTGTTAAATCAAAAAGACCCGTAAAAGATTTTAAACAAGGTTTTGAAATCATTTAGCCAATTGATTATATATATAGTTTAAGCTACTAAGATCACAATCAAGAGAAACGTTAGCCATTAGTTTCATTATCAATATTCATAAACAATGTGACATGGCAAAATTGGTCATATCTCTAACATGATGTAAATGATGCAAGAATGAAGAAATTTAACCACACCAAATATATAAGTTCAAACATCCATAATCCATCATATAAGTTCAAATATCCAACAACAAAAGGAAAACAATCCAAAAACATTCAAAATGTTTAAACAATAAGTTTTAAGTTTAATGTACTAAAACAAAACACAGAATCAAGCATCCGTAGGAGGATCAGGAGGAGGAAAATGAGCTCGCAAAGCGGCCATCTCATGAGTGAGTTCATTAATACGAGCGTTGGTTGCTTCATTATTTGCACGCATCTCCTGAAGAATTTCCAATTGTTGAGCTCCCATTGTGGATAAATGGGACTCCATAGAAGTAAAGCGCGAATCTATGGTAGCATATCGGAAATCGAATGTCTCCATAAAAGATTGAAAATATGGAGGCATTTGATTCATTTGTTGTGCTTGCTCCTCGGGCTGCTCAGGCTCATCTTCGGCTTCATCGATGTCTCGCATTAATTGTTCAAGCTCGGGATCGTCGTCAGCTTCTGGTGGAGCTCGTGAAGAACTAGCTCCCGGAGTATTTTCAGAAGATCGAACCCATTCACCGGTTTCCTTATCCTTTATCCATCCCGCTCTCGTTAAGGAAAGAAGATTAATTTGTTTCTTTAGAGCAAAGACGACATCTAGACCTACTCTAAGCCAGGCTTTAGAAAAAAGATTACTCAGAATGCAACCGTAAACTAGAGATGAACAGAGTTTCTTGTTAGGAACAAGATTTACGGTTTCAACGATTTCAGTAAAAATAATCTGAGGTAGGTTTATTTTAATACTGTTTTGGAAACAATGTAACCACCAAAGATCTAAAGCACGAAGAGTAGAGTAACGACCTCCGGATGGTCGAAACCACCAAGAAATCATTAGATGAAGAAAACGATCATGAAGGTCTAAGACACTCGTATTATCCCTTCTTTTATAACGAGAACCTAAAACCTGTTTTTCATTTGATATACCATTATTATCTAATCCTAATGCTTTGGCTATGTAAGGCTAGTCAATATGTAAGAATTGTCCTAGGAGGTAGGAACGAACTCCTATGGTTTCAAATTAAGCTCAGTTTTTGACACAAACGGCATTAGAGTAAAAGATGCGAACAAGTTGATGGTAAACTATAGGTTCAAGGTCACAAAGTTTATCAAATTTCCACTCTTGTAAAAGAGGAAGATATCTAAAATCGATATCTAACATAGCTTGACGAGAAGGGATACGTTCTTCTCTAATTTTGTAAGAGTCAAAATATTGATAATACCAAAAACGATGATTTCTAGGACCAGGATGATTGAAGCACGAGTTTTGGATAGTCATATTAGGATTAATAGGATTAGGATTAGGAGTTGGAATTTCAGGAATAAGAGGAGGATTTGGAGGTGGATTTGGTTGACGGTGAGAGCGACTAGATGATGACCTAGCACGTTTAGGATTGGACATGGTTTAGGAAGTCGGAATAGAATGGATAACCTGCAATTTAGAAAACACATGTATGCAATTCAATCAATCCCAAAACTCAATTGAGTCCTCAATATTTCGAGGTTCTCTAAACCAATCCTAATGGGCAAAGTTTTTGAAAAACTTATTGAAAAATAAGGTTTTGAAAATCAATATATGTATAGTTTTCATAACAACAACATAATTCATTAAAACACAATAATTTGAAAAACAATTTTTTTTATTTCAAAATATTCAAAAAATTTTGGAAAAATTCTTGTGTTTTTGATGAAATTAGTTGTAATATCTAGTTTCTAACCACTAAACAATCAATGCCCGATCACTATTTCTATCTAGAACTAATTAAAACTAGTCCTATGTTCAAAATCAATGAAAAATATAGAGTTTAGAAAAATTTACCTTGAAAGATGAGATTGAGTGGATTTTGATGCTGTTTTTAATGATGCTAGTAGGTTTAGAAGATGATATTTGAAGAGAATTCTGATTAAAAATGTTGATTTGAGGCAAGAATGGAGATAGGGAGAGTAGAAAGGGGAAACGGCGATAAGGAAGAAGAAGAGGGTTTAGGATTTTTGGGTGTTCTGCCCGTGTTAAAATCCAAAACCCCATGGGGGTATCGATTCCCCTAGGGGGAATCGGTTCCCCTTCAAAGGGGGGATCGGTTCCCTCATGAGGGTATCGATTCCCTCTGTACCAAAATGCTAAAATCCGATTTTAAACACACAAAATGCTAAATTAACTTTCTCTAGTGGTATTGGCAACTCATATATTGAAAATTAATCGGACAATGAAAAATTAATCATGTTCAAACAATCAAATTAATCTTTAAACAATATTTGAACATAAAGTTAATTTTCATCAAGAATCATAAACTCCCCCTGATTAATAGCAATGAATGCAATCAAAAAATTACTATTCTAAGCATTTTTCATTTAGTCTTAAAAATGCTAAAATTATTTTAAACACTAAGTGAAGATAGGTTGGTCAAACCTAATTCTCTCCTAAGTGTCCAAAATCTTTCCTTGTCTAAAGGTTTTGTAAAGATATCCGCTAATTGGTGCAAAGTATCAACAAATTCTAGAACTACATATTCCTTAGTGACATGGTCTCTAATGAAGTGATGTCTTATTTCAATGTGCTTAGTTCTAGGGTGTTGGATGGGATTTTTAGTGAGACAAATAGCACTAGTATTGTCATACTTGATAGGAATGGTACCTACTTCAATTTCATAATAAAAAAGTTGTTGTTTCATCCATAAAACTTGTGCACAACAACTACCAGCTGAAATGTATTCAGCTTCAGTGGTAGATAATGCAACACAATTTTGTTTCTTTGAAAACCAAGAAATCAACATATTTCCAAGGAATTGGCAAGTACCGGAGGTGCTTTTCCTATCTAATTTGCATCCTCCATAATCCGCATCAGAAAAGGCATGCAAGCTAAAGCTAGAGTCTCTAGGATACCAAAGTCCTAAACTAGGAGTGTCCTTAAGGTATCTAAATATTCTC